TAGGTCCAAATTGCAAAATATAGTCCACCTAATGTCTGAAATAGGTTATGGAATAGATACTTCATTTGATCCTTACTAATATAATGTGAAATCCAACTTGTATTATTATATTCGCATCTATTTTGTAAATCGATTCATACTTAAAGGAAGAACAACAAGGCAAATTGATTTTTGGTATGGTATGATTTATTCACGATGAGATGAATTAGATTCTTTGCAGTTTACACAAAAATATCAAGAGAATCAGTTTGAAAACATTTAAATGGTCTTTTAATTGAGTGCAGTTGCTGTCACAAGTACTCACAAAATCAACAAAAAACAAACAAAAATGAGTAAATAAGACGATCCTAATTCAGTCTTTTATCACAAGAATCTTTTACAAGTTGCACGTTCGGTCAAAATTGGCAATAATGGAAGTGAAAATGAAGAATGATGATGATAATGAAAATGGCGATGAAGATGATGAAAATGATGTATACGAAGAATGAAAATGAAAGAAATGATGTGAAGTAAAGGATGATCTATGAAGAGGATGAGAATGATGAGAAAAGGCCGACCATTATATTAGTCCCGGCAAAGATGTGGGATTGAATTTTAGCTCGTGCCTGCCGGCGATTTTCGAGTCAAACTCATCAAGAGGTATGGATTCGGGTGTGTGGGTGCGATGGGAAGGAGATTTGGAGGTTAGGTTCTTAATGTCCGTAACCACCATGTCCGTAGTTCTGGGGATGCGAGATCTTGGAGGTGTGGACGTGAGCGACGAATCCGTGTCCGTTGTCGGAGTACTCGACGACGCGCTCTCCTCCGTAGGGTTCGTTGAGCTTGTAGACTCCCTTGACGTAGTGACCGTCTCCGCTCTCTTCCTGGCTGTGGACATCGTGGGTGTGGGGGTCGTGGACGGAGTATTTGAACTCGTATTTGATTGGCTCCGAGGGGTAGTGGGGCTCGTGGTGGTAGGACTCTTGGTGGCCGTATTGGGGCATGCAGCTCACGGCGGCGACGAGGGCCAATAAAGCGGCGATCTGAAACAGAATAATGGGATTTCTCAGTCAATATTGAAATAGATCGTATCAAACAGGTGAGATTGTATCGATATCGATTGGTTCAACTCGTAAACATAGCCTCAAAAATCAATTTGGAAATCTGGAGGAACGGTTCTTTTGTGATGGATTTTTTATTCTTTTGAATACCAAATGCACTGAAAAAAAAACACATTGGACTCTTAAAAAGAATCAAGTGTATTTTTTTTGTCAATGTTTACAAGAGTCTGGACTCTAGATCCAATGTGTTTTTTTTCCAGTGTGTTAATGAAAAGTGAAATTGTTAGGCATTATCTCATTTTTAGCTTTTCCAACTTAAATCCAAACATTTTTGTTTGAGGCTGTGTTCTATTGGTTTGAACCAAACGATACGTCGAGCCGCTATCGAATACGATCCATAGCGGTCCAAAAATTGATTGATAATGGAGCCGTGCTAAGGAAGAACGCCGTATGAGTCTTCAGACGTTGTCAAAATTATCGTGATAAAATGTGACTTTTCAGAGTAATCTGTGAATATTTTCCTTTAGTTTTTCAGAGAATTACATTTGCAAGCAGATCCAAATATTAAGAGAAAACATCCATGACTTTCTGTGAAAATAAACATCTTATTGAAGAAGTTTGGCAACCCTCGAATGTTTCTATGGCTCTTTATCTATGCAAGACAGCATGGAGCCGCTGAGAAATCTCAACGTCAATATCAGATGTTTTCATAAGGGAACAAGTCCATTTTTGTATGAACCTTGGCTTGCATAAAAGACCGTGCTAACCAAGACTCATCAAAGAATGGACCTGTTTCCATTTGAAAACAATTGATTCAATTATAATAGAAGGATCCTCGTAAGAGCTGACTTTGACTTTCAAGCGCAATAAAAGTTTCTACGTAGCAAAATATTTTTAATATCTTTTTTATCAAGATTTTGGCTCAATTGGACGTATCGAAGGAACTATGTGCAAATTAATAAAATCAAAAGGAGCTATGTAGCTCGCAGAGCATGTGCGTATAGTTACTTCATTTGTTTTAATTCCATCTCGCATAGTTCCGGTCGAACCAACCTTTCAAACTGAGACACGGGTGGACTTCATTTTGAAATTAGGAACTACAATATCAGGCTCTGTTTAGACATTCGTTTTCCTATGCGCATACGCGTTTTTACGGATGAGACGGAAATTGTCGTTCCTAATTTCAAATTGAAGTCCAAATGTCTTTAAAATCGAAGTAACTTTTCATTTTCCCCACATGTTCGTTCTACTTAAAAAATTAATTTGAGAGCAATGCATTGTATAACACGAGCTTCATCATCAAGTCAAAATCAACTTCTTCTTTATATTTTATGAATGTGCATCATTCACAAATTTTCTTCCAGAGGAAAGTTCAATTAAACTTTCAGTGAGCTTGAAAAAGAATTTCAAAATAATAATCTAAGGTAAATTCTTAATACGTAGGGGACGCCCAGTGAGAGGTTGGCGACAGGGGGTGTTAAATGAGATGAGAGAGTGTCAACTTCCTGATGACCTGTGGTAAGACCGAGCTTTGTGGCGATTAGGCGTCGTAAAGCGCCAACGAGCGCTATAAAAGCGACTCATATGTATGTATGTAAAATCTTAATTAAATTTTAGAATTTTTTCAAATTTTAAAATTTGACGAGAAATACTAAAATTTTACGACGGAGGCAACATTTGATATCACATAAAATTAATTGATTCTCAATTAAATGTCAGTTTAATCTATAATTGAGCCGTATCCAGCTCCCAAGTTGCCCTGATTAAATTTCCAAATTTTTTAAACAAATTGAAAATTTAGAAATTGGAGTAGATACACTGATATTTTATCACGAAGGCATGATTTTAAATTTTATAAAATGATACGATTCTCAAAAAAATTTCAGCTCGTTTTTGAAAATGAGCCGTGTACATCCCCAAAATGAAACACGTGACTTACCTTGTACATGGTGATAGATTGGTGGGTATCGGTTGTGATAAGACTGAACACTGAAAGACAACTGTGACTGGCCACTTAACGCCCGTCGATTTTTATACAGTTTTAATTGGACCAATTTTGTAATAACAAACGAGCGGAAAGGCGCCGAAAAATATGCAAATAAAACTCGTCATGAAACGTCCGGCGGCCAACGGAGGAGCAAAAAAAATTGTCGGTCAGCTGAAAATGACGGAGGCAAAGGAAACGCACTTCTCTCCAAATTCGGTCGGCGGCCGGTGACCTGTCAAAAACTAGATTTGTAGACATAAGAGTGCTGCAACTTACTGACTTAGTTGTGTCTCTAACGTTCTGTCACCTTTTTTTTTTGCAGGAATGTTGCTTAAAATAGAATTTTATTTGTTTGATATTGGTTTTTGTCGTGGGTGCTGATCGAATGTTGCTAAGTCTCCTCATCATTTGCGCTTAATTAACAATGCTCTCTGCTCCAAAGCCCCTGAGTTTCTTTTAGAAAAATAAGTTTTTCGGGAACCAACTCTGGAACCTGAACACGTCGATGGCCAAAGTGTGATACCACGTATATCCATTGAGATGTTTCAAAAATTCCGCTCTTATTTTATTTTTGCGAATAGAAACTTAGCAAACTTCATAGCTTGAAATGTATACAGAATATTATGCCAACAGAGAGAGTAAATCAAGGAAGTTATCAAGAAATTATGTCGACTAGTTTTCCAAAGAAAAAATAAATCATGGTGGGTAGTCTGCAACGTCAAAAACGGAGGTACGTGGTCTCGCGCGTTACCCATCGATGTATATTCAAGAAATCAATTTATTTTCAATAGTAGCTTTCGGTATAAATACGTTCAACTGTGAGGAAAAACCTTTGCGGGAGAACGCTGGTAAGTAAATCAAACATTCGAGACACGAGAAGATTCTCAATGATCATCGCGACGGTTCCTCCGGATTGTCGCATGGTATGGTCCGTTCTTTTTTCTTTAACTGGGATTATAAGAGGTCCGAATAAACGAGCCAGGTAAAGATTATCAAGCCTATCGATCGGATAACATTGTCTTGATGATAATCGAAAATATTTACATGCCTCGAATGATCATTTGGACATATTTATGCTAAAAGGAACTAAGTTGCATGCAAACCTTATGAACATAGTTCCTTTTCGCATAAATGTGTCCATCTGAACATCATGTGAGTCATAAAAAGTTCCTGGAACAATTTCCCTCGAAGTTCCTCAAAACGTGCTCGTGTGGACAAGGCCTAAACTCGGCGGGGCTTCTCATGCTAATATCTCAGTCAACATAAGCATAAGCAAATCATTCAATTATGTTGGTGTTAGCGCGTTGATACAACTATTCGCACTCTATGGACGCGCGTGTTGCATATGAAAAAATGGAAGGCGCTCTGGTTACTCTTCCATGAAGCAGTGCTCGCAGCAGTAGCAGTGTTCGACCCGCCGCGCCGCGCGCCGTAGCGCCGCGTGCGCGTGCAGGCTCGAAAGTGTAGTGAGATTGAATTCATGGATAAAAACCAAGGAAAACGGATAGGAAAGGATATGTTCTCATCATTTTCATGCATCAGGATATTTTATCTCACCGCCACGCACATGAAGCTGTGATAACGTGTTGCTCTGTTGCTGCCAGTGCTGCTTTATGGAATCATGGACTAGAATGGCCGAAGTGCCTTCAATTTGTGTATGCAACACGGATGTCCATGGAAATGTCTGGTTCATCAATGCGTTATCACTGTTAGCAGTGTCCCTCTGACTAGAAATAATTACTAGGATGAAGTAAAACTTTGTATGAACACTTGAGCGTTGCTAAATTTCCTCCGATTAAATACCGATTTCCTGGAAACCAATGTGAACTCTTATATTTTAAAATCTTGGAGAATTTTCTGCGCAATTTAATCTAATGATTCTGGAAATTTCAAGAAATTTTATTTCTAACTTTCCTCCAAAATAAAATTCTATCAGAAAAAATTTAGCAACGTTTGAATCTTCATAAGCTGTTTTTCTGCCGCGGTTAATTTTCTTTGGCGGCAGAGAAGCCTGACACGGGTGTGTTTTGGTACACCTTACTAAGTCTAAACTTTGCAACGATGTATCATGACTGATTGCTATCGTAGTGTCAACAACACTCTCAATATCCGAGTAATATCAAATGATGAGATAGTGCCCCAGAAAGTAAAAAAAAAGAATGAAAAATGATTAAAGCTGTTTTTTTAATCGAACAACTTTAATAAAATAGCTCTTTTTATAGCAAAATGCAAACTTCGCAGTGCTGTATTGCCAAATGGAGCTTTTAATTCAAGCTACAATCTTCACTTGAGCATCGCCTCATGATATGGTTTGCTTGATATAGATTTAAGTCAAATCCCCACGTTCTCTAAAAAGGGGAACCCTTATGACAGGCGCCCCTTGTGTTACTCTTTACACATCCACTCAAATTTGAGTCAACACAACATGATTTCGTAATTTGTAAACACAATCCAATGTAAAAATCTAGAGCTCCAATTTTTCTAGGCTGGTTGATTCTACAATACTGGAATACTTGGCAACTTCGTTTATCACTCAAATACTCTATCCATTGCTGTGAACAAATGGATTTTTTATAGTTTTGCCAGGAGTCATATCATCGCTGTCGTTGCGTTCCTTTTTTAGTGGTTTTCGTGTTCCTTACTTAAAATTCGTAGTTTATTACCACTACCACTTGAATAGAATCAACACAGGACTCGCTCAGAAGTGTAATTATACTCGTGAAATACATCGGTGCATACGAACTTTGTTTGGATCCTTGCGTACTTTTGCATTTTAATCCATCGTGTCATCGGAGTAATGAAACTGATAAGTGATACCGTTTAAAAATGAAACGACGAAAGTGGTGGCTAGTGTTGGAATTTGAAGAAAATGTCTTAAGTTTTTTCAGTAATGGAATAATATCGGAATGCTCCAAATTTTGCGGTGTAATTTATAATGCCAAGTATGAACCAAATGGATAAAAATGAAAAATGGAACACCTGCAATTGAAATTGTTAAAGCAGAAATAATTAACTTAATTTTGCATTAATACTCACTTTCACTTGTTTTCTCTGTTACAGGTAAGGAATGTCTACTATTGCTGCCATCATAATCTTTCCCAAATTTGGTGAGTTATCAATAAAAGTTAATTTTCGACTTCTTTGAAGGCTAAAAAATCTTAAGTCGAAATTTTACTAAATACGTATAGAGCAATTAAAAATGGTGCTCTATATTTATCATTTAGTTATGAATCTTTAGAAGTGAAAATAATGAAACAGTTTTGATTTTTTACGAACATTTTCTTACCATGAATATGAAAGGGATTTGATTATTGAATAAATCTGCAAAATTAATCATTTTTATCAGAATTCAATAGAAGACGTATGTAGACTCCACATCTACAGGCCTGTTAATGCGTATCGTAGGTCCAATATTACAAGGAGTATTAATGATTATTAAAGTGTCGTCATGATGAGCAGAGCGTTTTTAAGTGGTTAAAAAAATAATGGCGGTCCCAAGCATCAATGATGTCAGATTGCTCCTTTGGCCTTAAGGGTTCGAGTGATTATCAGTTGGTTTTGATATTGGTGGTAGCGTTCAATAGCTCAACTCTATACAACCCAGAGTAATAATTGCCAGAGTTGAAGGACGCATCGGTCAAGTTGGGATCAGAGATCATTATAAGTCCCACATTTGGAGATTGCCTATAGCTCCAGACACGAAAGTTTTCTCAGTTTATAGCGCGATTCCTTTTGCGCAACGGCACTCGCTACGTGACCGTTGACTTATTAACGTTAATGACACCATCCGTGTAATGATTTTTATGTGATAAGAATTGCGTTTAGTAGCGCACGGATGTGTGGAAATTTCAAGCAGTAATTTTAGATGAAAAGATACGTGGAGAAATATTGAGTATTTGTCGATTTTGTGGTGTGTGTTTAAAAGGACAGTTAAAATATTACGAGCGTAACGTCCATATGAAACTCTTTGGTCAGAGCTGACACTAAAGTTTAGGCTCAGTTTCACGGAAAAAAATAAATGTTGATTTAACATTTATACTGTTAAAAAGATGTCCGACAAGTTTCAAATGCTGTTTTTACAATACAAAAATGCTAACATAACATTTTAATTTGTACGTTTTGCAGTAGGCGTAGTTACGTTAGCATTTGTTAAAATGTAAAATGAGCATTTGAAACTTGTCGGACATCTTTTTAACAGTATAAATACTATATCAACATTCAAATTTTTTCCGTGCAGTTTGAATATTCATGTTAAGTCTGGCAAAATTATTTATTTTTTGGACCGATTCGTGTTTATAAATACAGACAGAGAATAAAAATAACACACAAGCTCCATGAGTTTTAGACTTTCATTCTCTTCTGATCGTTCGAATTCTCTCACTAAGAGATAGAGAGTTTTTTTTTCGAATCGTAAGTTCAGATAAAAAGGCCAGGTTAAATGACAACATTTTTTACTTCCCCAGAACATAAGTGCGGACAAGGTTCAATACTTCCCCTACCTTAAAACACGTGGATCAAACCAAGGAACTGAAGGAAAATAGTACGAAAGGGTGGAGGCATTTGAGAAAAAAAAATCAAATTTTTTCGTAAATCATTGTATTTTTTACATACCAGTTTTTACGAAAAATGTAATCTTCTTCTCTTGCAGTGAAAAAATTGTAAAAATATATACACAATGGATACAATAGAAGTAGTTTATCTGTATACATCAATTTAAAGTTGAGCAAAAAGGGTAACTTCGATCTTATTGGCTGGTAACATTACAAAAATCACACAATTGTCACTGTGCGATACCTTACTCCCGCGTAATTTTGATTCAAGAAGCAAAACATAGAGCCAAGCATAAACTTGCAGGCATTTATGTTTGCTCAGCACTGACCGTTCTAAATACATGTATCACAGTTAAAAGAAGCACTAAAATGACGGTCAAATTAAAAATAAAGTATAAAAAAAAGCTTTATTCTCATTACGATTGGATAGTTAGGAGAGAAGTATTTAAGGAACCTGTAATAAATAAGTGAATTTTCTTTTCATCTTGAGGCTTATAATCCGTCAATTTTGAATTACATGACTCCCTTTCGCGTCTTAGATTCGAATAATACGCGAGGCTAGTCATTAATTCTCAACCTGATCATTCTTTTAAAAGATTCCTAACTCTTAGGGTATCAAAATTTAATGCGTTGCCCAGAGGCAAATCCCTCAATTGTAACAAAACAACAAAACTTGTTCCTTCTTTCGCAATGTTTGTTCCCTTTCAAGATTTTTAAGTTTAACTCTCTAGCTCTCAGCAATCTTAGTATACCGTAATAATCGCTGTATTTTTTGAGGATCCGCTACAGATGCATTAAAAATGGAGGATTTTTCTAAAGTGTATAGTTGGCCCTTTATAGTTATCTGTCTATATTGCAGAATTGAACACAATTAAGGTCGTTGGGAGCTCGAAGAGATACAACACGGCACCTCATCAGATCTTAATTTTACACATGTCGTTGTACCTCTAAGTCCCACTCAGTTACGCATAGCTCCATCAAATCGATAAAAGGCTGAAAGATTTTGCGAAAAGCCCCTGTTTTTTCCAAAACGCTCTATAAATTGTCATCTAATCTCGTCACTTAAATTTCAAAGGATTATGAAAATTAATCGATAAATGACTTTATGGAAAAAATATTAATATTCAAGTCAAGTTGGCACGGCGGGGGCTTCTCTCAAAATCCCTCAAACACTTTTTAATAAGACTAAAGCGGTGTGACACCCGCCTCTCCAGGTAACCATAGAACTCCACCATTCATTACGCCATGAAATTCGCCAAATGATAACTGGTGAATGTTGGGATGAGAAGTTAGGTTATGTTTGCTGAACAAATCGCTCGAAAATGAGTGGTTTTCAATGTTTACCCGGAGAGGCCGGGTGTCGACACCGTGTTTTCCGGAGTTGAGTAGGAGGCCTCCGAGCCCGAGGAGATCACAGGAATTTAACCATGGTAGGCGGGGGCGTGGTAGGCGGGTGCGGGTGCGTGGTAGGCGGGGACGGCGTGGTGTCCGGGCTCCTTGTGGACTACGGCGTTGAATCCGTGGGCGTGGGAGGCGGTGTATTCGACGGTCCTCTTGCCACCGTCGGGTTCGACGAGGGAGTAGGATCCGTGGACTACGTCGCCGTCCCTGGACTCCTCCTGGCTCTTGACGTCACCGGTGTGGGGGTCGTGGACGTTGTAGTGGAACTTGTAGGCGGGGTGGGCGTCCGGGTAGTGTTCCTCGTGGCCGTGGTAGGCGGCCACCGGGGCCACGTAGCCGTGGCCGTATTGGGCGATCGGCGATGAGAGGGCCACGCCGAAGAGGGCCAGCAGTACTGCAATCTGAAAATAGAAAATTGAGGAATTTTAGACGAGCGATATAGAGAAAGAGAGACACCCATAGAAAACACACTGTAGATAATTTAGTTTTGCAATAATCGCAGAATCGAGTTTTGATGGATTAAGCTTAAACAGGGTGTTGCAAAAGTCCCGACCCCACCCTCTAACTTTTGAACTGTTCGAGATAAACAAACGTAACTTTGGAAGTGTTTTAACTGAAAGGGGACCATTTTCTAAAAGGGGTGGCCAATTTTATTTTTTTTTGGGGGGGGGTGGAGGGGCCCAATTTTTTTTTCAAATAGTAACCCCTACCGGGAGGAGGGGAGCGGGACTTTTGGAACACCCTGTAAAATAGCAAAAAATAATAATATCTGTTTAGAGACCTAGTTTTTAAGTCCAATATTCAAGGTTGAGCCATCGTTTTTTGACTAACACGGTGTATGACGTCATCTGCCACGGTATTGCATGCCGTGGTTTTTTTACCTTTGGATCATCAATTAGTGGTGCACAACCGAGACGAAAGTAACCGTTCCATGCACCAGTGTGGTGTATGACATCATACGCAGTGCTTTTTGAAGAGCGATATGGCTGTTTTGATAGTTATACACCGATTTTTTTATTTTTTGTTGACCAATAATTTAAAATTTTTAAAACACGAAACTGTGACTAGCTTATTATCATAACGGACCCATTACCAAAACAAGCAAATCCGTGCGGAATCAAGTTTGATAGATAATAAACATAAATGCATAGAGGGGGTACTAGGGTGCAGTGGTGGTTTGAATGAATTTTTGGCGACTTTGAAAGTATTTTTCTCGACTAAAATGGAGATTACAATCGAAATTTTAAAACGAAGATTTATTTAAAACATTAAAAAACGCGGAGATTCTTATTTTGCACTAGCTTTCCGAAAATGAATTAAAAAAATTGCACGAGACCTCATTAGCATATGTCTCAAAGCGCAAAGATGAGGTTGGTATTGAACTTGAGACAACAGTGGTGATGGTATTAATCTTCTCGCGGAATCTAAGTTCACGATCACTGACTTGTCGCTCTTCGCTCTTTGGCGGGACGCCTCATAGTGTCCGCGAATCACTTTTTTACCCGCCAGGAATCTCACCATGACGTGAAGAACTGAAGACGCAAGTGCAGTCCGTTCATCTCGTCATGATGAGAGTGCCGCGGCATTCCTCTTCAATCACGGAGGTTGTTTAAAAATCCCAGCATTCATTTTATTTTTTTAAAGGAAAACAATTTCATATCATTCCTTGAAGTACTCACAGAATTTTTTCCGCACAGTGGAGGAAAAATCTTGGATGTTACGAAGAATTGACGTTGAGTAGTTTCCCATTTGAAAAATAAAGTATCACGGAAAGTGTGCGATGTTGCAAACCGAGATACGTGGTTTGAGAGTTTCATGATCGATGTATGCCCTATTAATATTGTTTTGCAGATTTGTGGTGTTTTTTCTTCTCCACCTTCCCTTTACTCCTTTTTTATTTTTTCCTTCTTTTTTCCTATTTTTCCTCCATGTCCCCCTTTTTTGATCATCCCTGTTTGTTCTACTCTTTGTCCCTTTTCTTCTCCTATGTCCCCCTTTTTAATTTTCTTCTAATATAATATCTTATTCTTTGTCTTTCTCTTCTCATACCAACCAACCAAAACCTAAACCATTGAATTTGTCGATGTAATTGACGAAGTCACTAGATCAGCCCATTCCCAGACCCCCGACCAAGACAGCACGACCAAGGTGAGGTAACGTGAAATATAAGAGAGAGGGAAAGGACGATAAACTAGAGAGCGGTCTAGCTTTTGGCGGACTTTTGCCCTGCAATCTCCTCTCCGCGCCTGTTAAATTACGGATCGGTAATAATAGCCGCTCAGATTTCGTGTCTTTTTGCCGCAATGAGTCGCATTGTTATGATGACCTACCTGCGGGCCTTTCGGCCTTGTCTCAGAGTGACGAAAGCCTGAGGCCTTATTTCAAGAGCCCATAATCAGTGGCCGTTTGCAGACTCACATTCATGCAACATCTCCGCGCTGTTTTTAGTGTTTCCGAGCTTTAAGAAAAAACAGATTTGCCGTGACCTCAGAGCTCATGACATCTGTACTCATATGTAGAACTAACAACTTTATGGTAGGCTCTAATTCTATGGATTGCTTAAAAAAAGGTCAGGATTTTGGGATGAGATTGTCCTGACAAGAAGAAGAGGACTGCGTTAAGCAGAAAGGAACCAAGCCACATCAGCTATTGCCAAATTTAATTGGGCAATTCCATTTTTTACATGAAAACGGTTGTGCGGATTTTTGTGCAAACAGTGAATTTTTTTCATAGTTCGAAGCAAATTCCATAAAATTTTCAATGGAATCCGCACAAACGTTTCGTTGTAAAAAATTAAATTCCCTAGTGAAAAGCAATAGCTGATGTGGATTGGTTCCTTTGTCCAATAGGAACGTTTTGTGAGGGAGAGGAGCAGTGGACTGATTATTGATGTTGATAGACAAAACTATCGACAAAGAAGAAATAGAGAGAATAGAACAATCCTATTGGTGGAAGCGGGTAATTGCAATGGACAGAAGAAGTAACAGAGTAACGTCATTTACGAGGGACCCAAAAGTTAGTCTTTCATTTTCCCCCTCAGTCTCTAAGAACCACCCGTTGCAACCAACAAGATCGCTACATTTTCCCTGCGCCCTCTTTGTCTACAGCTTTATCTATCAATTTCAATAATCAGCCCGCCGGTCATTAGAGGGTCAAACTCGTAATTACGACCCCTGAAAGACGACATCAAATTATCCGAGGTTTTCGCTTTTCAAACAATGCTCTTTGGATGGTCAACTTTTGATTTTTCATGGCTCGAAAAATGCGAGCCTCCCCCATTTCCTCCCCACGTGATGGCCTCGCATGGATCGTCGAACAGAGGGAACGGCAACTTGGGAGCAAAGTTGGATCCCTTACATAACTCTTGGATCGCGTGTTTATCACGTGTTGTAGGGCTGCGCGACGGTGCGCTCACGACAAGTGGTTTTCTGACAATTACCGCGGCCCCTCCCCCCCCCGCCGCCCTCGCTCGCGGTTTCAGTCCGAAAATCGGGATCGGCCGCGGGGTTCGGCCGCAATGTTGCCAAACCGTGAAACGGTACTGACGTAAGGCCGCAAACCCAATTTTACGCGAGCACTGAGAAGCATGGAATTAACAGGGATGGAAAGGCTCATTTTCGCGATGTTCGGCAGAAACGTATCAAGTCCCATTTTTGAAAAATATGATTTTTGAATAGAATAGAATTTAATTGGTAGTAAAGTTCCCCCTGTTAAAAATTTAGAGTCGAGATATGTATTTTGAACGTAAAACGGTTGTCAAATTATTTCTTCGATATCGAGCCTTACATTGTAAAACTTCAAGTGAGGGGCTTGGAGGGCAAGGCACATAAGCGCAGTTTTTGATATTTCGAGAATACGTGTTTGAAGTTTTGAAATTACACGGATCATTATGGCGGGAAAGACAATCAAACTTACTTTTTGATGGTTAAAAATTGGAATTTGGGAGCGAATTTTTCACACGATATGCAATAAGTCTAATTTTACTTGAAATCATCAATAACTCAATGTTTTCAAGAACTGCACGTATGCGCCTTGTCCTCCAAGCCCCTCAAATGTACTTTTCTTGTTTTAGACATGATGAGACTTAGTGCGATTCTGTTGAACTTGGTCCATTTTTAAGTTTAATCACACGCAGAGGGTAAACATCGCGTATTATAAATTAAATATTAGGTCCAAATAATTGATGTTTTTTTATTACTCAAAAGTTGTCAAACTGCGAGGCATATTTTAAGAATTTCTCTTAAAAATTTCGACGTAAATTTGACTTAATGAAATACGTGAAGAGGGTTCTTAAAACACGAATTGCAATAGTTTCCAGCATTTGGATGAGCTTTTTAAACGTTGGTTGAACGGTTGTCGCTACCGGGATAGACGACTAACTTGTGAACGATGTTAGGAGAGATGAGCGAGGCTAAAATGAGGGAATTTCCATGACAATTAGACAACGCGGATGGAGCGTCGGTTGGAAGTTGGGTTGTTGGGTCGATGGGCGAGCTTTTCTCTGCAATTTGATGTTGTAACGCGGGCGGTTATTGGGTTATAAAAGTGAGCCGCCGCGCTCCATTCATGCGCGACTTGACCGAAACCCAATCACGTATGTAACGCCGTTGTCGCGTTTCCACACTTAAAGCCTCGGAACTTTCGGTATAATGATATGTGGTCATTCTAAAATACTCCCAAAATAAAGCCCTTGAGACCAAGAGAGGGGAAAATACCAACGGGCTGATTTTTGAAATTGGTAAACAATGCGATAGACGAATGAGACAAAAAGGAGTTGGAGAGATCCTATTGGTGGAAGTGGGTGGTTGCAATGGACACAAGAGGCCGGGAATAGACTAATGGCAACCCACAGGGGACCCTATAGTTAGTCCATCATTTTCACTCTTAGTCTAAAAGAATCACTTATTTCAATCAATAGGATCGCTCCATACTACTTTTATGTCTTCAATGTCTATCGCTTAGTCTATCAATTTCAACACTCAGCCCGCAGATTGAGAAGATTTGCCATCGTGTTGTCGAAAGAACCTATCTCGACGTTCTACCGCTCTGTGAAAAAGTACCAGTGATGGAATCGAATAAATCTTCATGCAGAAGTGTTGTTAAAAACTAAGAAAATGTAGGGGAAAATTAGGTGTGGTGACTTATATGACAAGTCCTCTCAATTGATGACGCATTGAAAACAAATTTTCTTGAGATATCATTTTGACTGAAAATGTAGTTTCCTGTCGAAAGTTAAATCCATGCGGATTTCACTAAAATCAGTTTGTTTAGTTAAAAAAACGTTGTTTTGGTATCTTTTTTTTTAAAATTTTATCTTAACCATGGTGAAAAAACGCTTTTTCAACTAAAAAAAAAAAAAAAAAAAATTTGTCGACAAGAAATGACACTTCAAGTCAAAGCAATATCTCAAGAAAATATTCTTTAGTGCGTTCGTCATAAATATAAAGCTAAATGTGAACATGTGTCTATAGTTACATCATCACGGGAATTCCGCTTTAAATCACACGATATATGGCAAGCGCAGGAAGGATTGCTGACTCAAATTGACGCGGAAGATGAGAAAAAGTTTGAATCGGAGGAATTTGAGGGTTAATCTGAAATTTCGGCAAATGAAGACTGAAGCAAAAACTCAATCTGCAGGTAGAATGCTGAAGAGAATTTACTAACGAGCGGTTTAAAACTTATTCGAAACTTCGGCTTTTAACAGAATTAACCTCGTTTAAATTTGGGAAATGCATACTGGAGATCGTCGTTACATTACATGAGTGTGAATGATTGGAATCTCGCACATCAGCATGAATAGGACATGCAGTTACACTCAAATTTCATTGATTCTGTGATATGATGGAAAAAGTGGACTGCATTTTGCAATAAGGAATTAATATAACTGACTTATTAATAAAAACATCTATCTACAGGAGGAAAGTTTTAGGACTTATATTGTTTCTAAAATGAGCCACAAATAGTAGTTCCTCATTGCGAAATGAGTTCCGTATAGAGACTCGAGCGCACGGTGAAGAAAATCGGTCAAGTCAATTTCCTCGTCGTTCCCGACTTTGCAAACATCCTCCGCATCGCGCAATTTGCAATAGACATTAGACATAGATTTTAGTCTGCTTTTTTACCAGTTAGAATAAAAAAGAACTTCTGTCGCGTTAGAAATGGAGTGACTTTGGTGGAAATATCACAAAAATGTTTTTTAGCTTCCAAGTCATAATCGTTGCTTAACAAGGAAAATGAAAATTTTCTACATTCAGAACCATAACAGACAACTACGAAATTAAAAGGGAAATAAATAAGGGAATAATAAACCACCAATAAACTGAAACCAAGTCTGCGTCAACACAAGCAAATGTGAAAAAAAAACTGGCCTCCTCTTAGCAAGGAGAACGAAGGTGGTTAAGGGGGTAGGAATTCATGCTCTAATGATGCTTCAATGTTAATTACCATGAGACTGAAACCCCCTCTCTCAGACGAGACGTATTTTAAAACATCGTAAGACTCCAAGTTTACGAGACAAA